ATATGGAATCTCTGGCCTAAAGAAGAACATTACCTAGATTGATCTCTCAGGTGTCCTTTGATCCCAAGACAACTAAACAAGACTTCTCACCCGTTCTTTTCCTCCACTTTTATATTTTAACTTTGTATGATGCAACACAATGCTTCGTTTGTGGTTTAGTACTTTGGATAATATGTGAGTCAGCGACTCAGGAATTATGCACTTGAATCAATTGAATGGCACTAGTTGTGTGTGAATTTATTACTATACCTGATATTGTCCTTGACTTTAATTAGAACTTTAGAAGTAAATTTGGATTAGCTAGTAAAATACGGATATGTGACGACCTTATAAGGTAAGCTTCTACTATCCTTTATCGACCTGATGAGCTTCTTTGGGAATTTTTTGAAAAGAATCTAATAGCAAAACTAAAAAGAGTCAGTCGCGAAATTATTTAATCTAATTCTTTTAATTGTACCCAAAAAAGTTTAAGTAACTACCTACAGTTACAGAACAAGTCATGTAAGACTTTTCTTCTGTTTAATGCAACGTGTTCCACCATGTAACATGTATTCTCCGCCGGCTTTTATGGAAATACGTGAAGGGAGAGACTTTAAAACAGATAGGGTAATAACCCATCAGAGTCTCAGACAATGTGAAGGATAAGGTCACACGTTATGATATTGTCTCACCCAAACAATATGCAAGTGGCTGAGGCAGAATACATTGTTCCTAAAAATGTAAATCAATTAATTTTGATTACAGAAATTATTTTTAAATTAGCTAGATAAAGAGTCTTAATGTTAAAATTTGTAAGTTTCGAAATTCTTTTGGTCGGTGTAATTAATTTTATAAACTAGGTTGAATTGACAAATCATATAGTTTGGGCTTCTAGAATATGACGCTCTTGGGGTTTTTTATTTGATTGTATCGAAAGGCTCAATGAATTGAGATTTTTCTATTGGGTTGGGTCATTTCGGGAAAAGCAAATCATTTATAATAAAGAAGATGAACTTTAAGAGAATGATTCGGAGTTCTTGTCTATGTCCCATAGAAACTGTCTACCTGAGACTATCTCTTGGCCCGTAGGTCTTGACACAAGGTTAGAATTCTAGCTCTTTCAGAGTGGTTTTGTTTTTTTGTTTCATCGACCCAAACATGCCAATATTAGCACTGATAGTACGTAAATGTAAATCGCTATTCAAGCAACTATTCAGAGTTCTTAGAGCTCCTCGTAAGGCTTGTTGTAATGCCAAAGGAATCATTACCGCAGGACATAGAGGGAGAGGTCATAAGCGTCTATACCATAAAATCGATTTTTGACAGAATGAAAAAGACATATATGGTAGAATCATAACCATATAGAATAAGAACAACTCAAAAAGATAAAGAAGTATCGTTAATTTATTCATGCTCGTTCCAAGTTTGAAGTACCACTTGTACAAATAAGAATCCCCTCGTTACAGGATTTCTTCTTCATATAAATAGATATAGGATCTATAGAGCAATTATTAAAAAAAAAATCATATAATTACATGATTCTTTGTAAATTTGAGAATGACTCTATATATATGTTTATCGGGTTAAGCTCAATTTGATAAGTATGTTAGATTGTTATAAATAGCTACATAACTTATGCTCATTATGAGTGTAAATTAAAATTGCTATTATATTTATGAAGTCATGATATTTCATCCATTCTTAACACTCTAACAACGCACTCTTCCCATAAGTTCTTAATTATAAAGCGAAAATAGGAATGAAAGATCGTGTTCTTAGAATGGATACATATGCACGACATTCTTATATGATTTTTTAAGGTAACTAATTTATAAGATGTCTTTAAGAGGTAGGAGTGTTCACCGATCCAATTCAAAATAAATTGTAAAAATCAAAAACTGGAAAATGAAGAAACCAAACTTTTTTATTAGATTATATCGTTTTTCGGTTTTGATTTTGAAAACCAATGAAATCCAAACTGAATCGAACTTACACTCACAGTTTTATTTGTGAAATAATAAAATTACCCGTAAAACGAAGATTAAGCAATATATGATAATTAGCTACATTTATTGCTGAATTTTTTTACGGACGTGTATTTGTTGTTTTAGAAATTTTAAGTTTTTTTACTAATAATTTTTAATTTTGACTATATTACGACTTATGAAATGAGATATTTAATTAATCCTTACAGTTTATTTATTACCTCTTAAAAAAAATCTGATTAAATTCAAACACTTTTTTTTGGTAGAATTCAAATGGCTTTAAATTGGATTAGATTTTAGGGAAAACTTAACAAAAAAAACCCTATAAATTTCTTCAGAATCACTTATTTCCCTCCCTAAAAATTTTAATTATTTACACCCTTACTTAAATTTTTTTATTACTTACTCCCATAACTTGATTTTCCATCCAAGTCAAAGTTAACAGAGTTAGTCTTTTTAAAAAATACCAAAATTATCCTTAAAACAAAAAAAAATTGTTGAATTGTTGATTGGGGTCGGTTATTGTCTTCTATACACACACATATATACATATATATATATTGAATGAATCAAGAACTCGCAAATCAACAATTTGAACTCGCAAATGGTATGGAACTCGCATAACTGAACTCGCAAATTCAATATATATTTTTATATATATATATATATATATATATATATATATATATATATATATATATATATATATACATTGATCGCATTTGAATACCATTGATTTCATATCAGATTTGTGATATGAAACTGCGTTTAATTCTGTTATATAGAGAATACAAATCACTCAAATACAACCAAATAGAATGGAGATTTACCAGTCCAAATCTTTGAGTGTTGTGTGTTTCTTCAGAACCCGAATTATATAAGCATCTACCGACTAATCAGAAGCAGGGGCAGTGGAGTGTAAGAACAATTAAGATTTCACTCCTCAATGACTATCTCTTGTCAGCAATAAGGTCGAGTGTTGTGTGTTACTTTTCTTTAAGGGTAGTTTTGATATTTTTTAGAAAGACTAACTCCGTTAACTTTAATTTGGATAGAAAATCAAGTTAGGGGAAGTAAGTGATAAAAAAGTTTTGAATAGGGGTGTAAATGATTAAAATTTTTGGGGAATGGTAAGTGATTCTGAAGAAATTTACCAGGAGATTTTTTGAAGTTTTCCCTAAGTTTTATTATAAGTTTGCATGAAGTTTAAATCTAATCAAAATCTTTTTAATACTTTTTGCATGAAAGTATCGATCCGTGTCAGAATATCTAATGGTCATTATAGTTTTACATGGTTTCAAGAAAAAGAAAAATAATCGGAAAATGAAATCAAATTTTCTTTTCAAATTTTTAAACAGACATTTCAGTTAGAAGTATACTCCATCAGAACAAAGTTTTCAACCCCAAGTTTTCATATGTTTTTACTAATCACTTACAAAAATATCAGATTAATTTTATTGTATTCATATTTTTAAGAATTTACAAATAAAACGTTGAAAATAAAACAAAAAAAATAAAAATTCAGTGAATATATTTTATTTTTCATGATTTTTTGAAGAAAAAGCTGAAAACTTGTTGTTTTAGCAGTTCCTTAACAAAATCTTGAAAACAGGAAATAAACTAAATATACGATCGATGACATCTCTGTAATTATTAATAAAATATACCAATTAAACATAAAAATAAAAATTAACAAACCACACTTAATGTAGTATTTTATCAATTAAAAATTATTAAAAAAAAACACCCCTTAATGTAGTATTTTTTTTCACTACAATTAATGAATATGATATCTAAGATTTGTAATCAATCATTACATCAGTTTTGTTGTTGTTTTTCCTTTTTTCGGCCTTTTTTTTGTGTATAGTGGGCTCATATGGTCTTTCAAAGACACAAAATGGGCACTAGGCCCTAACCCAATCAGAGAATTTCAATTCCCAAAACACACAGAAAAATTATGCGGGCTGAGCTTATTCACGCAATAAATCAATTATAAACCTTTCTCATCTATGAGGCCCGGCAAAACGTTGTGGGCTAGTTCGAAGAATCGAAGGCTACATTTGCAAATTGCAACCCTCGCTCGTCGTTTGTAAAGGGAAGTTATCACTTATTAGCACGAATGAATCAATTTCAATTAATTAAAAAATAGCACTAAAATAAAGTAAACGAATAAATGGGCCGTTTTTGTCTTGGTTGAGAAGTCAGTCAAATTTGCATGTTTAGACAATGCTGTTAATATTTTCATATAATTTGCATATATATGTAAAATAAAATAATTTGACGACTCCTATTAAAGTAGTTACTCCGATATTGAATATGACTCACTTTTGCCTAGATAAAAAATTTATATAAGTGAAATATTCGGAAATTGATTTAAACATCACTTAACTACAATAAAAGAAAAGAAGTTTTATATGACTATGTATATTAAATAAAAAGCTAACAAAATGCATGTAAGGGGATTATACTATTCTATAGTGTAAGTAATACATTAGTGAAGAGTTGGTGGTGCGTATAAAATGGAACATAAATAGTAATACATCAAATCAGAACATCTCAACATAGGTACTGATAATAATAATACTGGAAATTAGACTAATGTAGTCTGACGTGGATGTCTCGACATTATCTTCAACGAAGAATTTGGAGGCTATCAAAATTGTCAATCGTTTCTAGAAGTTGCCATTGGCATTTCCAAGTGCTTAATTGTCGTTCACGATAATCAAATAATTTAAATTAAGAAACGCATCGATTTTGTTTATTCTTTTCTCCTTAAGCAACCAAACCAACCCACCCTTCAAGAGCAAGTATTAGATAAAATATTAATAAGAAAAAGCGACGCGGATTGTCCATTTTCGCGTGAAAGTAGGGATGGAAGAAACGAACGCATTAAGCTACTAATAATAAGTGTCGTACATAGAGAGCAGAGCAGCGTCGTCGTTTCGATTAGGTTGGGGACGTTTATTATCTTTTATTTGAATGCCACTCCTCCAGCGAAGCGAGAGTGACATCACCAATCATTCGAATATACTCAAAACAAGTCCGAAACTCAACTCTAAGCTCTGAAATTCAGCTTTCGAAAATTCTTCATTGTTAGGCAACTCTGCTCTCTTCAATTCTCATTTTACATTCCCAATTTGGCTTCGGGTTTTTAATTTTGCTTGCTCTTTGATGGGGAAAGGAGGAGGCTGCGTTCCCAGCAAGAAGAAGCCACCGCCTGTCGCCGGAGATTCATTGCCGGACGTCGCCGGAGGATCGGGTACTGCGCCGATCCCGGTCCAGGAGAACACAGTAAGCGAGGGAACCGATGCGCCAATACAGGAAACGGTGACGTCGGTTTCTGTTGATACCAAATTGAAGGTCTTCATTGTGTTCTATTCCATGTATGGACACGTTGAAGGGCTGGCGAGGAGGTTGAAGAAGGGTGTGGACGGTGTTGAAGGTGTGGAAGGGGTTTTGTATAGGGTGCCGGAGACATTGCCGATTGAGGTCTTGAACCAGATGAAGGCACCGCCCAAGGACGAAACCATTCCGGAGATAACGCCGGCGGAGCTTCCTGCCGCCGATGGGGTCTTGTTTGGGTTTCCGACGAGGTATGGTTCCATGGCAGCGCAAATGAAGGCTTTCTTTGACTCAACGGGGCAGTTATGGAAGGAGCAAAAACTTGCAGGGAAACCAGCTGGCTTCTTTGTAAGTACTGGCACTCAAGGAGGTGGTCAAGAAACTACAGCGTGAGGATTCTTTCTTTCTTCCTTTTTTTTTACCATTTTCATGTCTAAAATAAAATAAAATAAAATCTTCTTTGATGTATTAGACTCATGGTGTTAGTTAACTTGTCACATGATAATCCAGGTATTAGAACTTTGAATTGTTCATGGATCCCAAGCTTTGCATCATAGGTATAAAGATTAGGTTGTCTCGAATCCGAACTAGTAGTTTTGTATGCCTTGATCTTATTGTGAAGAGGGCAAAGGTGGCCGTTTTCTAAGTTGACTTGATTTGACTTGAATAGCTCTCTTTTACATGAGATTATAGGTCAGATTTTGATGTACTTGACATTGATTGGATTGTAGATCATTATCATAAAAATTGAAAATGCCTAGTGGAATTGGCTGGTCTTATATATATATATATAATGTAAAGTCTGCTTGTTTACATTCGCAGGCTTGTATTCAGCATTGTTTCTTGTTTTTGTATGATGTGATTTTGCATGGCTTGTTTTCATAATTTCATACTGCATCATCTTTCTTTTTTATCCCCAATCGTCAAAAGAGAGAGAGAGAGAGAGAGAGAGAGAGAGAGAGAGTGCTAATATATTTTTGCTATTGTTTAGTATGATTGCTAGGGCTGCGATATTCATTTGCAAGATGCATGGCGTGTAAGAAGCATCTTTACAAGCACGGTAGCAAATTACTTAGTGGGTCAAATTATTAGCTCTTAAAGTTATATATTCGATGTTTATGGTCTTAATTTATGGGGAGCTTTCTTCTGGTATATCTGACAAGTTATCTCAGGTTTTCACCAGCTTTAATTGATGAGTGAATGAAACTTAAGAAAGTTTCAATGTATTCTTGAGTTCACGTGAGCTACATGTTATTTATTGTTCGTATTAGTATCGACATCACCAACCTATTGAGTTTTCAATTATAATGAGTAGATGATATCAAAAGATGGTTACTTAAAGTTCAGGGTAATACGCAAAGATTGTCAAGGGATAACCACAGTGGGGCAAACCTTTTTTTTTTTTTTAAAAAAAGTTATGCATAGATCAAGAGGCAAAAATTTCATTTCTTCCTATTCATTTGGGGGATGGTCTTTTATGTTGATAAGTTAACTGGAAACTCTTGTAGACAAGCAAGTTGAAATTGAATTGTAATTTATAGAAGTGCATGTCTGCTGTCTGACTTCCAAGACCATCATTCATTCTTCTCTACATTTCCAGAAACATATTTTATTTCACTTCATGATGGAAATTAGAACGGTCCCTTGGTGCTTGAAAAGCATTATGGAATTCTTAGTTTTGTGCTTTATATTGCAGTTGGACGGCAATCACTCAGTTGGCACACCATGGAATGCTGTATGTTCCTATTGGATATACCTTTGGACCGGGAATGTTCAAAATGAACTCAATTAGAGGGGGTTCTCCATATGGTGCAGGAGTATTTGCCGGTGATGGCACAAGAGAGCCAAGTGAAACAGAGCTTGCCCTTGCAGAGTTTCAGGGCAAGTATATGGCTGTTATAGTTAAGAGGCTCGCCCAGTCATGATGGTGTTTTCTTGATTTCATTCTATTCTTGTTGCTCATCTGTATTTTTTTACCTTTCTTTGTTGTCAAATTGGTTCTGGCATTAACCATTGCATTGCACCGAGGAATGGCAGCTCTGTTCCACCATCAATTCTGTTGAGAATGGGGATCCCATTTTGTTCTCGGTTCTGTATTCTTCTGGAAGCTGTAGATGTTTATAAAGTTATATCAAATATTAATGTGAATTTGTGTATCGTCATGTCTCCGTTTATTTTTTGGAGTGTTTTTGTGATTGAATATGTATTTTGAATTGGTATAATGAAATTGTTTTTATCTTCGAGGACCATCCGATAACTCGAGATTATGACATCAACTTGTTTAATTGTTGTTTAGATTGGAAAATAATTGATTATATTGGTTTGAATTTATTTGGGTATAATAAAGTAAAAATCACTTTTAATGTGTAGCTATAGGAATAATTATTAGTTATTTAATCTTACTTATTGTTTAAAAAAATTATGACAAATGATTAAGGTGGCGTTTGGTTCAAGTTTTTCAAATAGTTTCCTGTGTATATGATTTTGGAAAAGTACGACGTCCATGTTTGATAGACAATTTTGAAAATATTTCCCCGTAAAATGCAAGCATAAGTCATTGTTCTGAAAGACAACTTGGAGGTGGTATTGTGTATTTAGCCGGCTAAATGGCAAGAAGGCTAACCAAAAGCAGACCAAAATATCCTCATCTAAAGAGCAATGGCCACTTGTATTAATATTAAAAAATTATTATGGGGTTACTTTTGTAATTTTATACCATTTACCCATCAATATTTTATCTTCAACCAAACATACATTTCAAAAACTTTAATCAATTTTCTGGTAATATTTGGCCCAACCAAACAACTTTTTTTAACTTTCTCACCTAATTCACTTTTCTTGCTGATCTCTGGTAATTACATTTCCCTGATAAAAAAAATTTCACCTGAACCAAACGCTCCAAAAGACATTTGTGCGTAACAAATATTCCCATATAAGTTTGTTCACTTGAAAATGGAGATGCTCCATTCTCAAAATGCAGCATAGAATCACAGTCAGCGATTGAATTGAATATGACAGCAAAAAGCAGTCAAGACATCGTTGCATATGTTGGATTTTTTGGTCTAAATCTCATGGGTTATAAATAAAAAGTTTAATTTGAAAAGCTGTGTCTTTTTGTCGTTGAACGGATGTGTCTTTTCATGTTGAACATTGATAAGTTTCCAAAACACTATGTTTTTATGGTTAAAAAGAGTTCAAATAATTATTAAAATAGTTAAAAATATAATGTTAAAACAATAAAACAGTAAAGCAAAATGAATTGTCAACAAATAGAAGATTCTGAATATTTGTTGTTGTTTCAAGTTGTTGAAACTAGAATAACAAAGTGCCAATATGATAAGGACGAGACAACAGTGGAATCCGCGGAGCAATGAGAAAATTAGAAATTAAATAATAAATAAAATAAAAAGTGTAACGCTCGCTCCACTGCTCGCTAAAGCGAGCAAGTGGGCGAGCAGCTCGCAAAGTTGCTCGCTAAAGCGAGCAACCAACTCGCTAAGGTCTTCGCACAAGCGACCTATGGAGCGACCAACAAAAATAATGCTCGCTAAGTAGCTCGCTTTAGGGAGCTCCTTAGCAAGCAGGTCCAAAATTCAGAAGCCCACATTTTCTCTTTAAATACGAAGCGAAGGAAGCCGTGAAAGGGAATTTTGGAACTCTGAGAAAAACGAAGTCAGAGACGAAGACGAAGGGCAGGAGTGAAGAGGAATGCTGGAGCGTTGCAGAGGAGAAGGAAGGAGTCAATTCTGCACCATTGTTCATTACCATTAAACAAGTTTTATCATGAACCTCATTACTTTTACAGTAGCTTTAAATTCTGTTTTTATCACTATGCGTAGCTAATTTACTTTTAGTAGTTAGGAAGATACAGAACCAATGGGCTCTTAGTTGATGTTTGTTTATTCTTATGAACTACATTCTTGTTTCTATATTATGCAATCAATATGATAGTTATGCTTAGTTTTATTTATGACTTGATCACTCGTAGATAAACATATGAGTCATATATGACAATAGGATGTTGGTATGTGATTCTGATTGGTTGATTGCTGGAATTTGCATGATCTAGGGATAGACTTGTGAATTTTATAATTGTGAGTTCTTGCGTTAATACTTATTTTATGAAAAAGTACTAAGGGATTAGGCTTTGGATTAGAATAAAGAATTAAATTACTAAGGGATTGGGATTTAGTCAATTATAGAAAGAGCTTTTAATAGTTTAATCTTGAATGTAATCGTAAGAATATGCAAACTCGTTAAGAAACTATTGGCGAAGTTGAATTCTAACTACACCTTTTTATTAAAAATCTTAACTCAATTTCTAGTATTCTAAATTCTGAATTTAATTTCTAAAATATTAAAATAAAAAATAGTTTTACAAATCCTGCTTTTAATTAAATCACAATATTCTCAAGAAAACCTTTAATGATCGATCCAACTTTATTTAAATAAATATATTATTGCTTGGTCATCAGTCCTCGTGGGATCGACAACTTTCTTATCACTTTATTACTTGTACGACCGATACACTTGCCGAGTTCGTCAACAAACATGCATCTTTTCGTGTCGAACAGATGTGTCTTTTCATATCAGCAGATATGTCTTTTCGTGTCGAACAAATATGTCTTTTTGTATCGAACATATGTATCTTTTGTGTCGAATGAATGTGCTCTTTCATCGACAAAAATGTGCCTTTTGAGACCTTACGTTTTCTATAAATATATAGAGAGTTAGAATTTCATTTAAGTTTTTTTTCTATGCATTGTGCATCCATACCATAGTATTAGATAGTATGAATCATCTGACATTCAGTTGTGTTAGTTCGGGCTTCTGATCGGTAGTGCCATCGTTCTGAAGACACAATTTGTTCTATCTTGGAAGGCAATTGTTCAACATCCTTCGACATTCATAGAAGGAACAAATTGTCTTAAGGAGAGAACATTTGTTGGGTTCAAATTTATCTACGTATTGACATCTTTTTATATATATCGTGTGAGTTCGTTCCTTATTTTTATTACACCTTAATTATATATTTAACTATAACATCTTCGTTGCACGGATCTAAATCTCTTGATGATTATTCACCCACTGTCTTCTACAACAAGATGCACATGTGGCAAGATTCTTCATGCTTCACGCATAGCCATAAGTAATTTGAGTAACTTGAGTTTTTTTTTTTTTAATTCAACAAAACATACCAAAACAAAAACAGAGTAACATTGTAAGCTTCTAACTACGTTTAGTTATTGTAGTCCGTGGTTATTATTTTAAATCTGTATTTTGTCTATTTAAATCTTAAAAAGAAGAATTGTTTTGTGTACTTGTGTATTTGAATTTCCTCATTATAGCTCAGTTTTTTTTTATTAAAAATATTGTACGTGTAGCTTAAAAATTTAGAAGATGCATTCCCAACTCCAAATCGGCTAAATATTTTAGTACCTATTACCAAACCATAACTTTATACCATTGTCAGTGCTCTCATTTTAATCATGAGTCTCCAATAGCTTTTATGCTCACACATTTTTTCCCCCTTTCTACCTCCATTAATCGAGCAACCCCCTAAAATTGTCATTACTGGTGAAAATTTGAGCATGGTTAGAGTGTCTCAGTCAAATAAGATCGGCCTTGACCAAAACCCCAAGTATTCAGTTCGAACATAAGATATTCAAGAAAAATTTCAATTCTAAAATTTCTTGAGAAGAGGAAACAAAGGGTCAATGATATAGGACCTTTTCCAATCAACAATAATGAAGGGGCATGCATAGACATTAAAGATGATTTAATTACTTGATTTTACTCGAGAACAAAAAAAAATTCTAAGAGAATGAGAATGTTAGGGACATGTTAATGGGTAGTTTTTGTTATTGGGTTATTTCATTTTTGTTTAGTTGTTTTTAAGGATGGGTTATCATTTATAATTTGTGTTTTGTCTATTCAAACCTTCATTATTATTCTTAATTAAAAGAGAAAAGAAAAATTATTTTATGTACTTGGGAGTTGGGACAGAACTTTTTCAATAAAGCTCAATTTTTTAAGAAATGAACTAACATTGAAGAAATTGCAAAATAAAACGAAAGGCGCTCTTAAGCAGAAAGGTAAAAAATAAATAAATAGGAAGATAACAGTACACTTGCTTGAACATTATGTAAAAAAAAATGCCATAGAAGTTATGTAAGTGAGAACCATTTGTATCTGAGCAAAAACTAGCAAAGTAAGGATATGAACTTAGGATATGATTATAATGAATAGCTTCTCTATAAAAGATGAACTTCTATGCATTACCCTATTCCTTTCCATCCTTGTTTATATGTGGCTAGTATTTCAATCATAAAAAATAGATTATTTATTATGTTTGTGACATTACAACTAACTTTTGAACTAAAAGAAAACGATTTAATGTACTAAAAAATAATAATAATAATAATAATAATAATACGTTTTCTCCGGACAGGCGTACTCGACCCAAAATTGAAATTTAAAGTCACAATGTTGATGGGCTTGCATGCGTGTAAAACAGCAACTTTCAACATTTTAGTTAGATGGGCCTCCGGTTGAAACTTCATTGATGTAGGGAAATGTCATTGTTTGTTGAACGTAAGAAGCATAGCAACGAAGCTTAACAGTTAACACTTTAAAATGAGTTCTTCTTTGAAAATGATATTTCTACACCATGGTACTTACCCACATTTACACTTTACTTGATAAAAAATAAAATGTAGGGTGTGTAAAGTTTAATAAATCGTAGTAGTTAAAATTGATTATTTGAATTCCAAAATTACGAAAATAATATAATGAAATTTTAAGATTTATTGGTTTTATTATTTACAAGGGAACTGATATAAATATGGTATGATGAAATGATGTATAAATATAATTATCCTGCTATATTTGTGTTGGACACGTATTGGGATCAGATACTTCTTCAACATAATTGGGTACTTATAAGTATTTTAGAAGTTTTGTATTTGTCAATACAGATAAAAATTATAAGGATTGGATAATAATTTTTTATTGCGTATAAAGTAGATGATGCCAACTTTTGAAATGCTCAAATTTTTTTAATCTTAAGCATTATGAATGATTGATTATAGTTTTTTTTTTTTTTTTTTATAATTCTCATGAGAAATTAATTCTTATGCCATATAGATACAAACATGTGGGACTAGAAAAAGTCATACGTGAAACCTATTCAGCATAGAAATCGAATAGTGTGTAAAAAAATTTTAATTCTTAAATTACATGAGAATTATAAAACCCTTTTTTTAGGCTAAATTATAAGTTACCACCCTATAGTTAGACCATTTTGCAAAAAAATGCCTTTTACTTCTAATTCAAATAATTAACCTAATTAAATTATATCACTTAAATAATTAGGCATATTGTTAAGAGTGGCATCCAATTTCGTTACTCTCATGTGATGCCAATAAAAATCGCAAAATCAATTCATGTGCTACTTTTAAAAGAGTTATTACTGTTCTTCTAAAAAAATTCACATTCTCTTCTTATTATTATTGCGTAGTTGATCACCTTCTCCCTCACTTTCACTTAACATCCAATCTTCTTTTAAAAAAAAATATTGTTATTCTTCTTCTAAAATCGATTTTCATTCTCTTTTTTCACGTTTTGACTTCAAAGATACACACAATGGAAGAGCATGTTTCTGCTAGAGTGTGCGGCAATGAGAGGCGCATCAAGAGAGTGGTGTCTTGTGCTAACTTGTATTTTAACTCGCCTGAATACTCTCTCATCGTAACCCTCCCTGTCTCTCTCGTTCAGGCTTCCTACCAAGTCACCTTTAAACTATACTACTCTTGCAACCACTTGAATGTAATCTGGATGAAAGCTATCATAAAAAGAAACAAACATGACATTTGACAAACTTCAAAACTACACATGGTATCAAATGCTGGCAAAAAAATACTTGTGCTAGAAGACCACTAATATTAACAGATCAGTCAAATGAATATGGTTACTATTATAATTACAAATGGCCAAAGTCGGCACCTTATTGAAGCTTGTAATATCCTCAAATATTTAAGTTGTTATGTCTCGTATTTGTCAAAGACATAATATAGCGACACGATTTTTTGATACCTTGATACAAACAAAACAATCACTTGCGCTTTTTTTAAGCCCACAGGCAAAATTTTGTTAAAAGTGGCTCTTTTACAATTGACATTATAGAGCTTCATTTTTCACTCATTTCTATTCCAATATTCAAACTTAAAATATTAAGAAAACAAAATAAAACAAACTCTACTAGCTACTAGTTCATATTTGCAACTTGTGTCCAACCTCCATCTGCGTTATATATATACAAGGAAGATCAACCTGTAACAATGCAAGGGTGCGCAAGTACCCATCGACACCATCATACATACTTTTATGCTCCACATGCTCCTTTTGAATTATTTTGAGAGACAGCTCCATCGACATTCACCTTAATCCAACCATAATTTGGTGTTTCCCAAGTGGTGCGCAAGTACCCATCATACATACTTGATGATGTTATTTCTTTCACACGGACAACCTGACTAATGTTAGACACAAGTTCAAGGATACACGCAGGAACATGTTTCGATTTATGGGAGCAAAGAAAAAACAACATGAGTTTTTGTAAGTCACGTGAGACATTTAATGGAGTTAGAGATATTCTTTACATTCTTTATAGATATGTTTAATTTTTTAAGTAATATAATTTAATTAGGTTAATTGTTTAAATTAGAAGTTAAGGGTGGTTTTCTGAAGAAGGTCTAGGGTGTGCATGACAACCTTCCCGGAATTAATTCTTTTTTAATTTCTGTTTTCGGGAATAGAAATGGATAGGAAACTTTTTTGGTAAAATTGGTTTATTTTTTTGTTCTCGAGATGAGCCGATTTAACTTTTGTGCTAGGGAACAGAAAAAATAATCAAATTTTTTTGCTTTTTTTGTTCCCGGGCACAAAATGAGAAACACTTATCTCTCTCAGTCACTCTCCACCTTTACCATCATCACCACCACCACCACCATCATCCCGACACGACTGCCGCCACCGTCGTCGCCGCCGTCATCGTACCACTAGTGTCGTCGTCACCACCATGATGTCACCGCCACTGTTACCACCACCTCCATCCATCACTACCACCATGCTATCGTCACCACCACCACAACTACCACCGCTGCCACCACCACCACCACCACTATCACCGTCACCGTCACCACCACCATCACCACTACCGCCATCAACCATCACCACCACCATCATCGCAACTACTGCCGTCACCGCCACCATCGCCATCACACACCACTGCCACCCCCACTGCCACTACTACCACCTCCACAACGCCACCACTACCATCACCACCAATGTCTCCAACCACCATTATCATTGCCGCCGCCACCAATCACCACCACCATCGTCACAGCCATTACCGTCACACCACCATTACACCACCCCTGTTACTACCATCACCACCACTACCACTACCACCACTGCCACCATCATCACCACCACCACCACCACCACTGTCACCTACCACCACCTCCGCCGCCGCAGCCATTGCCACTACCACCACCATGATGCCTTCACAACCATGCCACTGCTACCATTGTTGTCGCCACCAACCACCATACCCACCACCATTGTCGCAGTCATTGCATGCCGTCACCTCCACTACCGCCGCCGCCACCACCAATATCACCGCCATCGTCGCAGCCACTGCCATCACAATCATCACCACTATCTTCACCACGCCACTGCCACCACCACGCCACCCACCGTCACCACCACCACAACTACACCATATGGAAAGGAAAGTGATGATTCGAAATAATTTTATATTTAATAGGAATTATTTTTTATTATATTATTTGATGTGTTATCAAACACAATTCTCATTCTTGGAATAAAAATGGAATATGTTATCAAACACATTTTTTTTTCAAAAACTGTTCCAAGGCATAGAAATAGAAAAGAATTGTTTCTTTTTAGAAACAGTGCTAGAAAATAGAATGGTTGTCATGCATACTCTAAGTACAGGGGTGGTAAATTATAATTTAGCCTTTTTAAAAATGAGATATTTTTAAATCTTCTTAATATAAAATTATTCTTTGTTTATATATGTAGGCCAGCATTCCCATACTTTATTAAAACTCAAACAGCTGACATTGCCAAAGTGTTACAATCTTTAAAATTAAACTTGTTTACCATCTAACTAATTAATGCTTACGTTTTAAATATATTTTGAAAATTACATTTTTAACTTGAAATAGTTTTTTTTACAGTAAAATTAAGATTTGTGATTTCGTATTCATGTTGACTATTCAACTTGTATCCTAATCATGTCATATCATATCTCTAACAGGTCTTTAAATAGACTAACAAATATAAAATTTTATTATATTATAATAAAATTATAATATAACAATAATATATTATTTATATTTATTTAATTTATCAAATCTAAATTTTTCAAATAGCTTAATGCTTGCCTTTTTATAATTAAATAGGATTTTAGAAAATGAGTTTAATGTATCTAATAAATAAGTGTTGAATATGCCAGATGTAAAGATCCTATAACCTAATCGTATCCATCAATGTTTGTATCTAAACACGGACATTATGATGCTTAAAAAAAGAACAAAAATCAGGACACAAGTTTTGAAATTGCAGAGTATATAGAGTTGGGACGTGAATCGCACGTACATTTATGAAGACTCTAATTATAATTTATCAACATTTATTGAAGAATGAGATAAACATTAAAATTTTACAGTACTCTATATGAAATTTTAAGTTGGAGGATCATCCAATAGATTTGCAAGCTAATCAGCCCTATATATTTCGTTGAAACTTTAAGTCTTTACGGCAGTTTAAGTTTTTTTCTTCTTCTCAGTAATTAGGCATTTCAGTAAGTAGACAATTTTCAGTAAGAATAATCTCACTGTCACGCATTATTAGGATAATAATAAATAATGTGAAAGACCTGTTCAACTCGGTTGGATATATTCAGGAGAATAATATTTTCCATTTCGGAGTTAACTCACGCAACGAACCTATAACGAGTTCAGATACTTTAAGCTATTCTATAATTTTTTATTTTTATTTTTTGTAATAAGCTATTCTATAATTTTAAGGATTATATATTTTAGGATATTATAATTAAGAATACGGGAGAAGTTATACTTACAATTTTTTTTTTATAATCTCTTACAACCATATAGTATAACCGTTGATTTCCGTCATTCAACGGTTATAATTTTCGCAAATTAAACTCATTAATTAATTATTAATTCATAATAAATGACAATCGTTGATTGTCGGAAATCAACAGTTATGATATATGGTTGTAAGAAGTTGTAAAAAAAAAATTGTAAGTATAACTTTCCTCTAAGAATATTATGTTTGAGTAAATTCAAAAATATATTTAGTTAATATGTAAATTTTTATATAATATCTTTAAAATTTAATATAACGAGAGAAAGAATATAATAGACAAAAACGAGAATAAAAATTAATGATTGAGTTATAATATAATAGTTCAATTTTTTTCTTTTAATTTTTTATCAACATAAAGATGTGATATTCCTAATCTTATTAGAATCCCATCCTTAAAAACATACTATTTTCTATGCCAATTTTTCTTATCACTTTTCAAAACTTTTAGATCAAAATTTTTAAAAAAGAGAAAAATAATAAATACTAATCGAGATTATAATATAACCGTAATGAAAAATAATAGATATAATGTGTAAGCATAAAAAAAAAAAGATAGGTTGAATCATTTATATAAAATAAAAAATAAAAATAGAAAAGGACATTATTAATTATTATTTCGCAGCATGTGTCGTGTCGACCTTGGAAACGCTTGGAGGCGTGTACAACAGCATTTGTCGTTCTATATATTAAGACGTTCAGTGTTGTTCGTTACTGGAAACTCAAAAGAGTCTTGTTTGGGAGATTGAGAAAATAAAGAAAAATGGAAGACACACTTTCTGCTTTGAGGTCTTTGATGGCTTCTCACTCTCCACCTCTTGATGCTCTAGTTGTTCCCTCCGAAGATTATCACCAGGTTCATCATCTTCTTATCAATTGCTTTTTCCACCTCTTCACTAATATTACTTAGATCGAAGATTTTTCGGTTTTTTAATTCTGTTGACTAATCCGATGATTTTTATTTTTATTTTTTAATATGAAATCTCTTCTGCCTCTCTTTGCGATGACATTTACTCTTTGCAGAGTGAATATGTATCTGAACGAGACGAGCGCCGCGCATTCGTTTCCGGCTTCACTGGAAGTGCTGGTCTGTTTCTTTCTAAATTGAAATTTCTTTTATGCATTTTCGTATTGGTTTGGAAGTAAGTTTCGTTTTCTACAATTTTTTAAAAGAATTAGGGTTCGTTGCTAGCCTTGAATTGATGATTAATGATCATCCTGCTCTCTCTTTTTTTAATAAAAAAGATTGGCTGGGGTTGGGAATTTTAGTTACACCCTAATTCATTCTCAGTGGTTGCTATGGAATGCATGCACTAATCACTGGATGGAGTTTCTAAGACCGGAAGTGTCAAATAATGGATTCTAAAATGGATTTTGAGTCTGTTTTTGGAGTTTCTAGATGTACCTATTATTTGCTATACTGCTATGCCATGGTCTTGTGTATTTAATACATGATAAAATCAATCAAGTGTCTTCTTGTGTTGTTTTTCATTATTATTATTATTATTATTATTATTATTATTATTTTTAATGATTTTCAGGTTTGGCACTTATAACAAAGGATGAAGCACTGCTGTGGACCGATGGACGATACTTTTTGCAGGCTGAACAACAACTTAGTGATCAGTGGAGGCTAATGCGTATTGGTGAAGATCCTGCTGTAGATGCCTGGATGGCCGATGTGAGTCACCAGCTTTTAAAAAGCATTCTGTGATGTATATTTTTGATAAATATAATACAAATGCTAAAATTTAGCAAATGATGTTCTTTTTATGGTTTTCTCTTTGTTTGGCCACACCAAAGCATAATATTACAGCTTGGATCAAGAATCACACCGCCTACATCTCAGCATGATTGATATGTTGTTCCCAGAAAAAGCTCCTCTAAAGTGAGTTTGTCTCGTAAGTGCACAAGTAAGGGTGTATACACCCATGAATTGGATTAAGATCATGATATACTTTACATTAAATCAAGGGTGGATTCCTCCTTACTTGTGCACTTTATTGACAAGCTCACTTTAGAGGAACCTTATTTGTTGTACCCAAGTAGCTTCTTGTTTAGGAAGAGCTGACTGAGCTTGTACACTCCTTAACATTGTTAACAAATTAAAGAGAGAAAAGAGGGGTTTGGTAGAGAACTAGAGAGAGAGAGGCAGAGAAAGAAAGACAATTTAAACATTCTAGAAAATAGAAATGCCAAATAGGAATAAGGCTTGATACTATTGGAACTATCCAAAAAATAAAAATAACAATAAAAATAATAAAATCATATTCATATAGCCAAAACGTAAACTTACTATTATGAATGAGAATAACATACTGGATCAATCTTGCCTCATCCATTAATTGCTTTTGAGAAGTTCATTTTCTATTCATCTCATGTGATAGGACTATATCTGTGATTTTAGTAGGTGGGATATCTGTACTAATAAGTCATTTCCTTCCACTAGAACTTGCCAAAAGATGCGTCCATTGGGGTTGACCCTTGGTGCATATCAATTGATACCGCCCAAAGATGGGAGCGTGCTTTTGCCAAAAAACCGCAGAAGCTGGTTCAAACAACAAAAAATTTGGTAGATGAAGTATGGATAAATCGCCCACCGGCAGAGATTAATGCTGTTATTGTACAACCATTGAAATTTGCAGGTCGCTCTGTTGCTGAAAAGTTGAAAGATTTGAGAAAAAAGCTTGTGCAAGAGCAAGCTCGTGGGATAGTTTTCACAGCACTTGATGAAGTGAGTTTATCATTTTAACAACTCTCATCCGTTTTTTTAAACCTTATGATTTCGATGTTATTTTTTGCCTGACATGTTCATTCTTTTTAAGGTTATTTTCTTTTTTTTTTCATTTTATTATCTATAACGTGGCTTCAATACAGGTTGCATGGTTGTATAATATTCGTGGAAGCGATGTGGCATACAATCCCGTTGTTCATGCATTTGCTATTGTGACAACCAGTTCTGCTTTCGTTTATGTGGACAAACGAAAGGTGTCTGACGAGGTCAGTTTGAGCAATGTCTCATCATCTCTGAATGTGTCGCAAACCGGAGGTTTGCATAGCTGTGACAGTACAGAAAACTAAGAAGTATATTATATCAAGTTACTATATGTGTATATTGCCCTTATCTATACAATCTAATAAGAATGGTAGTATTTCTGAATGCTCGATACTAATCATCTGAACCAATTAAAACATTTTTTTCATGGTCAAATTAAATCAAATTTATTTACTAGGGAAGATTAAGAAAAAAATGTTGATAGAGTATTGCTTTGGTTAATGATCTAGGTATCCTGATGTTGGAAGGGGCAGTTTGAAATATTAAACTCATTGAAATTTGTGTTTTGTGCCAGGTAAAAAATCATTTAGAGGAGAATAGAATTGAAATTCGAGAGTATACAGCAGTAAACTTTGATGTGGCATTGCTTGCAACGAATGAGCTTGATGCTGTGTCTACTGCCAAGGGTGCTGTAGCTGAAGTTACAAAGGAGGCCGAAAAAAATGCCAGTGAGATCAATAAGAGTGTAAATGGGAAACATCAAGCAGAAGAAAATAGTAATGATCTCATATGGGCTGATCCGGGTTCATGCTGTTATGCACTGTATTCAAAATTGAACCCTGATACAGTTCTCTTGCAGCAGTCACCTTTGGCCCTTGCGAAAGCTTTAAAGGTAGGTTGTACACTTATACCCCTTTAATAAAGGCCATCTGATTTTTTTTGCAGCACATAAGTTGGTGGAGCTTTCTCAAATCAACCTTGCATGAAAATTAAGGAAGTTTCAATTAGATTCATATATATATGGATGTCTGTATCCAGGATAGCTAATAGATTTTGATATCCCTTAAGTTTATTACTTTAGAAGGAAATAGTGAAAAATGGGCCTGTTTGAATTCAGTTCTCAAAATCAGTTTTTTGATTTTCAGAACAAAAAAAAAACAAAAACTTGTTTGATAATGCCTTTTTTGTAAAAATATTTCTAAAAATTATAACTGTTTTTTAGTTTTTAGAATTGAACTTGGAGAACATATCTGAGTTGTTTTTGTTTTGTGCTTTGACTTTTAACTTTCAAAACAAAAAAACATAGAAAACACCTATTTTATTAACTATTCTACAAAACGGTTTTAAGAACTAAAAAGGCAGAACACAATCAAACATGCCTAAGTCTCAGCAATTAATTGAATGAAAAATTATACATGTCTTTAAAAAATTCATTTTTTCATTTCTTCATGTCAAAAATTGCTTATTTTTTCTTACTCCAATACTTGTAGAATCCAGTGGAATTGGATGGGTTAAGAAAGGCACATATTCGGGATGGTGCAGCTGTTGTGCAATATCTTGTCTGGCTGGATAAGAAGGTTTGCATTTGGATCTTATGTCTCTGGATATGTTTTATTTTAGATGAGAACAACCATATCTTTCAGTCTCTTCTCTCTAAATTACTATATTTTTCTTTTTTTTTCATGTAACCCACCAAAATATACAACAAGTTTTGAGGTGTGAAATAATGATGCAAAAGCTTGGTTGAATGTGCAGATGCAGGATATTTATGGAGCATCTGGTTACTTTGTGGAGGAGATTTCTGTTAAAAAGGAAAAACATTTGTAAGTATGATATCAAATTTGGAATGTCCTAAACTCTAACATGCTTATCATGATATAACATTGTAGAAATTGAGAAAAAGTTGTGAAGTTGGTTTTATTTGTTTATGGCTGGAATTCATGATGATCAGAAGAAACTCTTACTATAAAGCTTTTTAAAAAATTAACATGCTCTTTATCAGAATATTGTTAAGATGAAATCAAAAACTCTCTCCATGAAACCCTGACTTGCAAGGGTAGGGTGAGAGAAATCTTTGTATGCAACCTTATCCTTGTGTTTTTGTAAGAAGACTATTTTTTGGATTCGAACCAGTGACCTCTCGGTCAATAAAGAATAGCTTTATCACTGTTACAGACTCGATGCCAAAGTTAAATAAATAAGAGTTATTTTAACCTTTCTCAACGATGATGTTTTTTTTCTTATTATTGAACAAGTGAAAATGCTTAGAGTCTGGGCATATCTTTCAGAGTAGTTAGCTCCATATGCATCAGTAAAAAGCTGGACCATATAGTGTAATAATAGAATTTCTTCAAAATTTGGCAGGCAGTCCTTGAAATTGACTGAGGTGACTGCAAGTGACAAGCTTGAAGGTTTTCGAGCATCAAAAGAGGTAGAGTCAAGTAAACAATTTAGTATTTATTTGGATAGTATTTCTTCAGATTCTGCATATAAATTCTATAACAAGTAGGAATCACACGATAATAAGGAATTGCATTTCATCTTGCAGCTTCATTTTATTATCGTGTTTGACTGCATTTTCTTAAGCATAAAAGGTTATAGATTTCAAGAGAATGAAAAAAATGAGGTCAAATGTTTCTTTCCTATAAACTTAATGGACTATAAATGCATGGAAATAGATGCTCTTATATGCACTACTATGCCGATTGAAGAGAGTGTGCCAGTATGTGTTCAGTCCTAAGATTTTTTTTTCCTTTCTCTTTTCAGCATTTCAGAGGATTGAGTTTCCCTACTATTTCCTCAGTTGGCCCAAATGCAGCTATCATTCATTATTCTCCACAGGCTGAAACATGTGCTGAGCTTGATCCAGACAAAATTTATCTTTTTGATTCTGGAGCCCAGGTCTGTCTAATATTTTAAACAGTTTGCAACATAGACTTTTGCTGAAGTTGTGGAGAATGTTACTATTAGTGAAATTTTATAATCATGATCTCCACCTCTGTATTTTGATTATGTTGGTGTCTTTGAAGTATCAAGATGGAACAACTGATATTACGCGAACAGTTCATTTCGGGAAACCTTCGGCACATGAAAAAGCATGCTATACAGCAGTATGTGCCTTTATTTTCTTTTTTACAAGTTACATAGTTTCAAAACTATACCATGAATCATTTAATATTCTAAGTTTTTCCCTTTGGTAGGAAGTGGGATTCTAATATAGCAAACAAGTTTCGAAATTATTCTTCTGGTGTTAGGTTTTTTTTGGAAAGGGAAATGCTTTATTAACATTTAATATCTCATATTGCTAATAAAGCTGCTAGTTTATTAGTCAGCAACCTGAAAGGAGACAATAATACTCAGTTATCATCCCCCTTTTCCATTTTTCTTTCTTTTCTATAGAGCCTTTATACTAAGTTGCTTGATTTGCTGAATTTTGCACAGGTCCTAAAGGGTCACATTGCTCTTGGAAATGCTAGATTTCCTAATGGAACAAGTGGTATAAAAAATTTGACCATTTTTTGTATCAAATTCTGTGAATATAATTGAGCTAGTCTCCATTTAACATTAGAACTCAGCTACTTTTTCCTTTTTTTTTCAAAATAAAAAACTTTAGGTCATGCCCTTGATATTCTTGCTCGAATTCCTTTGTGGAAGGATGGTCTTGATTATCGACATGGTACTGGGCATGGTATTGGATCTTACCTAAATGTTCATGAAGGTATTGAGGAACTATCACTGTTTCCTTTTTGCTTATTTTGATTCTATATTCAAGCTTTTTCCTTTTTCCTCACATCAATACAAAGTGAGAATTTAAATTAATATCATGTAAGTTGTGCAGGACCTCATTTAATCAGTTTCAGACCACATGCTCGAAATGTATCGTTGCAATCTTCCATGACCGTTACAGATGGTTAGTATCAAATTTCTTAGTGGACCATGAGATCAGGATTGCTACATCATTTGTCTTTTCCTATTATTTGCAATTGATTGTGTTGAATTATTTTCAATTTATTTACTGATCATTTCAAAAGCCACAAATTTTCAATTCTACTTAAATACATTTATTATGGATTATACATATGAATTGGTTTTTTCAGAACCTGGTTACTACGAGGATCAAAATTTTGGGATAAGATTGGAGAATGTGCTTATTGTCAAGGAGGCTGATACAAAATTCAATTTTGGTGATAAAGGTTACTTATCTTTTGAACACATTACCTGGGTAAGACCTAATCTGTGTATTATTTTTGTGATTAGTTTATTCGCGTGAGATGTTTATTTTTTATATCCTTAAAAGCTTTCGTGCTTTATTCAGTTCCATCGGTCAAGGCTTATAATTGATCTTGTGTTGATGGGGTCCCTTTTTCACACTAATTAATGGCTGGCTTTGGTGTAGGGGTTTTGTTTATGTACTTTAAGATAGGTGTAGCAGAAATCTATTTTTATGTTTAACTGTATAACATTCTAAATTTCCTTTTGATGTTTAGAATTGTGTTACATATTTTCACTTTCCTTTAAAGTTTATATTGCGAAGTCAACTTGCAAGTTAAATGACACAGCTTATACTTCATCAATGGAGTTACCGTGTTAGTATGGTTTTTTTTAAGGTGTTACTAGCAGTGCTTATTAGAAACATAATATGCTTCCTTCTAATTATCTTTTACATGTTTAGCCTCCTATTTCTGACCTTTGCTGTTTTATTGGTGTTTTTAAATTTGGAGAATTTCCTCTGATTAGGAAGCATTATTTAAAAGATTCATTTGTCGCTTACTAACAATAAAATACTATTTCTTATGGTGTTTCTAAGTGCTTGATATTTCTCTTGTTCAGACACCATACCAAACGAAGTTGATTGACCTGAACCTTCTAATGCCTGATGAGATAAATTGGCTGAACTCCTACCACTCCACATGTAGAGATATTCTGGCGCCACATTTGGATGAAGCTGAAAATGCATGGCTGAAGAAAGCCACTGAACCTGTAGGTGTATGAGCTGTATTGAGTTGAGAAGTTATCAATTTCGTTACTTCAGCATAATATCTGCATTGTCTTCAGGAATGCATATTATATACTGTAATCTAGATTTTAGATGTCCTGTTGGGATGGCTATTCCTTCAATTCAAGTATACAGCATAGATATGACTATGGTGCTCATAATAAGGTGTAATGTTGTTGAATTGGTTTATCCACTTGCCATCAGTTCTTTTGTTTCGCCTAATATTTTTGTCGTTATCGACCTGTTATTGTAATTAAGATTACCTTGTGCCTAAAAAACGATTAAGAACCACAAGTACAGCTGAAAGTGGACAAAGTTTTACTGGTAGATACTTTCTTGCTTGACGGCTCGTAGAACCATTTTTGGGGGGCACCGTGGCAATTAAGATGAATAGATCTCCCGGACGGAGAAGATGACATAATTTCTTGAAGCAATCCGAATGGCTTAATTTCTTCGGTAAATTACTCATGCCTTCCCCCGAATTGGTACTATATAGCACACGTTACTTCCTAATTTTGAAAATCATAGCTAAATTGTCGTTTAGTTGACAAACAAGTCAGTGTATATGACTATTCCTAATTTTGAAAATCATTAGCTAACTTGGCGTTTAATTGAGATAAAAGTGTGACTGTACATGACTATCGCATGACTTTTAAGGACCGAGAATGTAAAAGGGTTGATGTCGGACAACTATATCACTGCCAAAAGATAACCCTCCTTGAATTTTGAAATAAAAAAAGTACGGCTCACTCCTCCCCACGTGCTTCTTTTATAAATTCAATTTATGGTATGGTTGGTTTTGTCAAAGCAATATTTTCTTTTTGATGTTTAACACTCAATATATCTAATAAATAAAATGTAAGAGATAATACTATGTTGGTAAAGGAATTCCATATCCTACGGTTCAAAAGAAACTACGGGTGTTTGGCAGAGGCTGAGAAAGTAAATTTTCTGAATAAAAAATTGTTTGGTAGATTCAAATATGGTTTTTTTTTTTACAATTAATGTATATAATTTATCTACATTGAATCTAAAATGATATCGTTTTGAGGCAAAAATCAAAGTATTTTTATAATTATAATTTATTTTGGGGTTATAATAGTCTTTATTATTATAATTTTTTAAGTTTTTAATTAAAATGACAATTTATTTGTATTTACTGTAAAAATATTAAAACCTTAAAATATTATTGGAAATATTAAATTTAATTCTATATTTAGTTGATTATGTAATAATATTACTCGAAATGTGGAAATGTGAGTTGCTTTACATAATAACCGCATGACACAACCCACCTTCCAGATTAGATAAAAGTAGATGTGGCAAAGTACGCGATCCGCCCCATCTCGTCATCTACTTGCAAAAAAATGAGTCAGCCCGCCCCGCCCGCTTTTGAAAGTGAGCTGAAAAACTCAGCCCGCCTCACCCCGTTTGACGGGTTGGCCTGTGAGCCTAGCCCATTTTGCCAGCGCTGGATAAAAGCTTGCCATCGTCAGAAAAATCAGAAGCATTATCTTCTCCAACGGCAATACCAACGATGCAGAAGAGTGATATGCTTTGAAGTTATCGAGCATATCTTTGATGTTATTGGAGTATGTACTTTTTTATTAAAAGTAGAAAAAGATGATGATTTAAAAAAAAATAACCATACAAAAAAAAGGATAAAATGATAAGAAAAATATATTACTTTTTTGAAATTGAATAAATGATACCCTGAGGCTTTAGTACTCCGGTGATAACAAAGATATTTTCGAAGTTATCATCTTTACAAAGTAAAAAATGAAAAAGGTTCAGAGAAGAAAGAAGACCATTAGTATTTGTATTTTAACAAAACCAGTACAAAATGGACAGTGATGGATTTGAAGCCAACAAAAAATATTTTCAATTGCTTCTCCTTCCCTGCTGCGGAAACCGTATGGTTGGAAACACGTCGATGAGAATGAAGCTCCATTAACGCAGGGAACAAAGAGAGGGGGATAATTTTGTCCGAAGAAGTTTGTGAAATTTTTCCACCGAATCGGATTCCAAGAATACACACAAAAATAATCCCCCTATCAAGGTATTTTGATTTAAAAAATATACACAAAACAAAATTTCGAAAAAATCAATTTTCCAATTTTTTTTTTCTTAAATATGCTATTAAACATTGACTTCTTAGAAACACATCTCCACTTTCTTGGATTTTCAAAAATAATTCCCCTATCAAACACTCCCTACACATCGTGCAATTTTTAACTGGACGGTTTAATTTATTTAACTATGTTTATAACTACTTTTAATTATAATAAAATCTTTTAAATGATTAAAATTGTATATAGTTTTTTAAAAACTTAATCCTCTCTAATAAGAATAAGTCAATAACCATGAGAGAAGGGGCAGAGTGAAATTGAGACTGACAGAGAAATTACAGGCTTGACTGCTCAAGCAAGTCATCTTTTTTTTGGGAGACTTATCTGTGGTGGGCCCAACCCAACCCCTAGTTAATAATATCTTCCTGCTTCATAGCCATCAAGTTACGTAATTTAATAGATCAAACTTTTAATATTTTCTGCTTCCAATAAGTCTTCCCATCGTCTCCTTCAATGAGATAATAAGAATCTTTAGAGTCTTTAATTATGGGCTAATCTTCTCATGTAACTATAAAAAAGATCTCAATTCATATATAAATTAACGGACGGTCCACGGTAATAGGAAAATGGATTAAGTTAAAATATGATAAAAGAATAACAATTAATTTATATTCGAACCGCCAAAATCTTGTTACATGCACGTGAGAGGATCACTCTCTGAATAATAATTTGATCTTCGTACTAACACCCATGTTATCCGCCATTTAATTACACAAGAATAACCAGATCACTCTTCATATCAAGTGCACTGCACCTGTTACCTTATCAGTTAGTACTTAGTAGCATTTTCCCCAGTTAATATAGCCAACAATACTGCATCGGTTGCTTCAACGATTTCCCTTAATTAATAACTAATTAACTTATATAATTTTTATTGTATAAATATAATTAATTTCATTTTAAATTTTATAAACTTCCGCGTAAACCCTATCACTAACTTTAAATGTGATGAAATGTCAGCTTACAAGGCGTCCAACAAACATTTTCATATATTATATTCCATTTGCATGCAAAGAGACTAACATTCCATTTATTATGATAAGAAAGAAAGGTTCAAGATAAAATTCGGTTAATGCATGAGTCGTATCATATCATAACTATTAAGAGGTTCGTTTCAATTAAGATATACTAAAAGATAGTATATTTTTGTCTCCTAAAAAAATGCAATTTTTTGAAATAAAGCAAATGATACTATAAATTGAATACATCATAAGTTAAAAAAAAATATTGTAGAAAAAAAAATTAGATCGCAAATAAAGTTGATGGTTAAAATTTTATGCATCAGAAATTTGATAATGGTCACAAAAAATTTGTGTATTTACCATGGGTTATTCCAGTTTGGTAGGCAGAGCTTTGTCACTCATGTCATCCTATCCAGCTCGAATCGAATTAGATGAATAATTGATAAACCGATGAAAAATATTCCATGAAAAAAATTGCATATTTGAACATAGTGCATATTCAACGTTACTTATTTTCATCTTCTCTTTTTCTTAAAAGTAGAAATATGGCCAAACAATATTTTAAAAAAGCATTTAAACAAGAAAATATTCTTTAATTAAAAAAATTAAAAATATGTAATTATTTTCAAATGTTGTTACGAGGAGCTTTCGATTGCTTTTTTTGCTTCTCTTTGGCCTTCTTCTTTTGTTAGGGTTCGTGACTCATGATGAACTAACAACAAAGGTTGTCTCAATAAGTTTAAAAGGGATTACATTCCCGCTACTGAAGACAGTCGTAACAAGGGAGGGAAATCCAAAAAGAGAAATAGTCTTAGATGAAGAAGATCCAGTCTAAACGCCGAAGAAAAAGAACCTCTAAAGCAGAGTTGTTGTCACAGGAGAAAAAAGGGAGATATCCTCGTTATAAGAGAAAATAGTTATAGCCTTCACATTAAAGAGTGAGGTAATTTGAGTGCATTCCTCTAGTTTCTATACTTGAGAGATAATCTTGTAATCTTATTTTCATAGTGGATATTGTTCTGTCTTCGTGACAGATATGTCCAACCAGTTATTGGTAATATTTTTATAAGATCTATGCATCCTCTCTCAGGTATCTATGAAAGAGATACCTTTGAAGGAAGACAGATCACTATGCACAATAATACTGACGGCAAAGCCAAATAGTGGGATGTGTGCACAGTAACAGGTAAGAGATAGGGATTAGAATGTTTGTACCATATTGGCTTAACCCTTTATTTATAGATGGGTTACCTGATATGAGTGGAATTTTGGGCCTCTTAGAAATATTGAGGGTCCAGTTCTTAATCCATTGTTGTGTATTATGATTAGTATAATTAATGAATCTTTTCTTAATTTTTCTCTTAGCCGTTAGCCCTTCTTGGGCCTTCTGGAATATGGGCCGCTATGTCAAGTCCATAACAGATATTTTTCTACACTAAGTCCCATAGTTTTTACTGTTCATATTGGAAAGCTTTTCCACGTTAAAAATTGGTGCGTGCTCATTGTTGTTTTTACACCTTTGTCTCTTTTACGTTTGTTGTTTTTCACTTCCGCTAATAGGGCTCCTTCCACAATAGTGGTATCAAATCTTTTAATCAAGGGTTTTGTGATGTTAGGGGAGGAAGGTACCGCACTCATGATGATGAAATGTTCAAGCCAACCATAGAGAACTATTTGTATTGAAAGCCCATAATGGAGGACCATCTTTATCGTAAAAATTTGTTTAAGTCAATCCTTAGCGCTAATGAGGCAGAAGGGAAGAGTGATAAAGAATGGAAGCACCTAAATCAGAAGGCGTTTGCTATGATCCACATATACATTAATAAGAGTTTGTTCGAGCATATGTTGACCTGCACAAATGTTCGTGAGTTGTGGATAAAACATGAATCCATAACTCAGAAGAAGATGCCACACAATGAAGCACATTTGGTGCGCCGACTTGTGAAGTTGGAGTACAAGGATAGAGAAAGCATGATTAAGCTTTTGAACACATACAAGTGACTCGTAAATCAGCTAACAAAAATTGATATAAAAATTGATGATGAGTTGCAAGCTCTCTTACTTTTCAATTGTTGCCGAGAGTTAGGACACATTAGTTGTAACGCTGAGCAACTCGGCCCCAAAAGGGGGA